GTTTGACTCTTACATACTGTGGTGTCGTTTTCTTTGTATTTATCCTGCTTGGAGTTAACTAAGCTCCTTAAATATATAGGCCAATGTCTTTCACCAAATTGGGGAGTTTTTTAGACATTATTTATTCAAGTCTTTCTTCTCTATTTTCTCTCTCCTCTCCCCTCAATCCCAACTGTACATGTGTTAGACTTTTCGATATTATGCCTTAAGTCCTGAGAATATGTTCTTTTTCTTCAGAAAAAAGAAGAAAAGAACTATTTTGTCTCTGTTGTTCAGATTGGGTAATTTCTATGATTATCTTCCAGTTCATGAACTCCTTCTATCATCTCAAGTTTTCTGTTGAGTCGTTCAGTGTTTCTCTGTTTCAGATACTGTATTTTTTTCAGCTATTGAACAGTTCCTTTCATTGTTTTTCTAATGGCTTCTGTTTCTCTGTTGAGAGCTCCTGCTTTTCCTTAAGTATGGGGGACTTTCTTTACGTCCTTTAACACAGTTATTGTAGCTACTTTAAAATCTGTGTTCGCTCCTAGATCCAGCACCTTCCAAGGTTCGTTTCCATTGGCTGTCTTTCACATTAAATCGGGCGATGTTTTCCTGTTTTGTTTTTGTTTTGTACACATTCATATTCTAGATCATACCCTGGCTCTTATGAGTGATAACAGGATAGATGACAGATTTCTATCACTTTCCTCCAAAGAGCACTTTTATTTTGTCCTTAGAAACAGTTAATGGGGACCAGCAGTTGGTGTCATGGCTATGTCACTGGACTCTCCTGTAGTTGACCATGGTTCAAGTCCCAGACCCAGTGGCTTAAACTCACACCGGGCGCGTGTGCGTGCGTGCCCAAGATCCCGAGAGGAGAACGGAGGAGGAGGGATTGCGGCGTGGCCATCCCCCCTGGGGGGTGATTTCTCACTTTCTTTCTCTCTCTCTCTCTTTCTTTTTTTTTTTTTTTTGAGAGAGATTTTGCTACAGGCATGCTCACTGGAGAGACAGAGAGACAGAGAGTGAGAAATCACCCCCAGGGTGGATGGCCACACTGCAGTCCCTTCTCCTCCATTCTCCTCTTGGATTTTGGGTACACGTGCCCAATGTGAGTTTTCAGCCACCAGGTCCAGGACTTGAACCACAGTCGACTACATGGGAGTCCAGCAACATAACTGTTACACCATCTGCTGGTCCCTACAGGTCACAGTTTCTATGCCACATTTTTTTTTTTTTGAGAGGTTTGCTATAGGGTGCGTGTGCTTGCCAGAAAGACAGAGAGAGACAGAGAGACAGAGAGCGAGAAATCACCCCCCAGGAGGGATGGTCACACCGCAATCCCTTCTCCTCCGTTCTCCTCTCGGGATCTTGGGCATGCACACACATGCGCCAGGCATGAGTTTTAAGCCACCGGGTCCGGGACGTGAACCGTGGTCGACTACATGGGAGTCCAGAGTCATAGCCATTACGCTAACTGCTGGTCCCTCTATGCACATATTGGGATCACTCTTTGAGGCTGTCTTCTAGGATCTCCTCTCTCTCTCGCAACTGCTGGAATGTCCTGACTCTTGTCTGGTCTAGCCAGTGGGCGAGACTGTGGCTTTCTCTCTGTTTTTGCAGCTAGGAGTAGACCCAGGCTGGGACTTTGCCTCAGGCATCCAGTGCTGTGTCCTCCCAGCAGCTGTGCACCCCGGTGTCCGCCTGCTCTTGGTCACCCCCCAGTGCCCTCGGACAGCTTCGCTTTCCTGTTCTGTTACGGTTTATGGTCTAGACTTGTTCTCTGTGAGAGAGTGGATCCAGTAGGAGCTACTGGTCCAGGAGGCTGTAACAGAAACACCAGCCAGGGTCTGGAAGGCAGTGAGCACTTACAACATGTGAGTTAATTTGATGGCCACGGTGTTATGCCACCTTCTGTGGTCAAGATGACAGGTCACATGGATATAGACGTACTCATACCCAGAGAAGGGCACGCAGTAGCCCGATGACCCCAGTAGTAGGAGAGACCATTGAACTGGGGGTTGGGGAGAAATGGGATCATCCAGGAAAGCTTCCTGGAGGAGGTAGTATTGAGACTGAGGAGATATCAAACATCCCGAGATGAGAGGGTAGACTTTCTCCACAGAGGTGCCCCTGAAACAACTAATTATATAGTTTTACTGATGGGAATTGTGACTCCCTGGGAGGCCACTCTTGCTTCGGCAAACCCTGAAGACACTTGATGTATCTACTCATACAAATGAGTAGATGTTAAACGTCTACCACCCCTTCCCGGGCCTGAGGAAGCAGTATCCTGGCTGAGAGGCAATGTCAGGTCTGGTGGTTGGGCCAGAATGTTCGCAGAGCAGGATGGAGGGGCTGGTGGCCAGGATAGTACTGGTGAGGCTGGACCTCAGAGCCACCTGCACACCCCTGAGCTGCTTGGGCAGAAGCAAAGATGACAGAGTGTCAGCGTTCTGTCCAGTAAATGTTGGTAACTTTCATTCCTTGGGGTCCCAGTCCCTTTCCCCCGCCGCCCCCAAGTCCTTTCACCCCCAGAGCCTCTAACCCCAGGAAGACTCTACCATACCCATGCTACAGATAACTAACAGGCTCGGAGAAGTTGCGTAACTCACCAAGGGCCCACAGCTGAGACAGACGCCCAGACGCCAGCCTTCTGACTGGTCCTCCAGAGCCCACAGTCATTGCCTTGGGAGGGAGCCTCCACCTCCTCAGCTACTGACGGGGAGTAATAGCAATATCCCCCTCGGGAGCTGGCACGAGGTTCAGAGGAGGCCGTGGATATGAAAATGACATATAAATTGTAAATTGCCCATAGACATTAGTGTCTGTTACTGTGGTAACCACTCGGCATTTGCTCTGGATAGCAATAGTTACATTGGCATTCTAGTTTAATAGTGTTGTTATTCTCCTATCATAAAAGTAATATGCATTATGCATATATCCAAACTCATCACATTGTGTACTTTAAATATGTGCCCTCTTTGTGTATCGATTACACCCTCATAAAGCTATTACAAATATATCTTTATGACAGAAAAATCTAGAAAATACAGAAAAGTAGAATGAAGAGGATTGATTATTTTATTTCAGTTCCCTTAAAGCAACGTCTGGTAGCATTCTGGGCAATCCTCTTCCAGCTTTCTTTCTCTCCTCTGCCCAGTTGCTTTGCTAATTTAACATGGCTGTGATCACTGGTCTATATAATTAAAAACATTTTATACACAATTTTATTTCCTGTTCTTTCCCCCTTAGGGGTTTTTTAATACGAAATAGCAAGAACCAGTGCCCCATTTGGGACCTCAGCACAGCTGGTTGTGGCTCTAGCTTCAGCCCAGAGGTCTTTGGGTGTTCATGAGCCACAGCAGGCTGCCCTCTGGAGGCACAGCGCCGGGGCACTGGGGACCTGACCCCACCCCCTGCTGCACCTCAGCAGGCATTGACGTGGTTCCTCGGAGCTGCTTCCCTTCTCGTCTCTTTTTATGTTCAGTGGAACGTGGGTCTGTCTTGATCGACGAGTAAGTCCAGCCCGCCATCCTGCTTCTAAAGCACCTTCTCTCTCGTCCGTTCCAGCGCTGTCAAAGCTGGCGTTTACCTATGGCTCCGAAGGCTAGTGCAGGTGGGGCGCTCCAGGCCGGCTGGCTCCCTGCGTAGATCGTAGATGTCTGCAGCTTGCCCACCATTCGTGGGCACCATCTGAGGACTGGGGAATTGCAGCTGTGGATCAGGAGAACTGAGAGCCCTGCCCTCGTGAGGCTGGTTCTGGCCAGGGTAGAACGCAGACAGACAATAAAGCCTTAGAGGAAAAACTCAAATGAGGCTAATGGGGATCACAGTGTGTGGGGCGAGGTGCTGGGGTGCAGAGAGCAATGCCCACAAGGTGGTCCCCATTGGGCTCACTGAGAAGCAGAATTACAGGGGTAGGGGATGAGCTGTGCTGATATCCAAGAGAAGGCCACCCCAGGCCGAGGGAATGGCCTGAAGACAGAAGGTGGCTGATACTTCTCGAGTGGGCAAGGAGCCCAGAGTTGGGAGAGTAGGAGGTGTTGAGGCCTGGCAGCAGTGAGAGGTGGCAATTGCCTTTTGCTGAGTTAGAAGCACAACCCCTGCAGATTCCCTGATCTGGAATCGTGGCTGGGCTTCAGTGCTCTGTGGGTCAGTGACCTGCTTGGCAGGGGCAGCTCAGCTCTGCTGCACGGGCTTGCATTGGGCCAGCCTGGGTAGGCCCTTCTCCTGGCAAAGGGAGAGATGTCAGATGATAACTCCCAGTGCCTCAGGCCTTTTCTTGTTTTTATTTTTTTTCTCTTTCTTTCTTTCTTTCTTTCTTTCTTTCTTTCTTTCTCTCTTTCTTTCTCTCTTTCTTTCTTTCTTCTTTCTTTCTTTCTTTCTTTCTTTTCTTTGTTTCTTTCTTTTTTTGGAGAGCTTTTTGGTATAGGGCATGGGCACTCGCCAGAAAGACAGAGAGAGACAGAGAGACAGAGAGCGAGAAATCCCCCCCCCCCCAGGGGGGATGGCCACGCTGCAATCCCTTCTCCTTCATTCTCCTCTCGGGATCTTGGGCACGCACGCACACGCACCCGGCGTGAGTTTAAGCCACTGGGTCTGGG